CCAAAATTGTAAGAAATCATTTTCATGGAAATAAAATGAAAGTTCCGCAAGGTCGCCGGATTTAAATATTATTGAAAATGTATGGGACTATTTAACCCGTTATATTGTATATAAGTTATATTATATATCTCAAGGTGGGAAGCAATTTCATTCTAAAAATCGCTAAAAATCGCAATTGAGGAAGGTTGAAATTCCATTCCAAGAAAGTTCATAGAAAAGTTGTATAAAAGTTTACCTAGATTATTAGAAGTCGTAGAAAAAAAAGGAAAATGTACACGCTACTAAAGTTCAAATAAAACACCGTTCTTCCACTTAATTTTCATTTTTTATCAACATGTCTTATCATTTTGTCGCACCCGTTTTTCACATAAGTAGATATATTTCCTGAGAAACGATGTAAACAGTGGCCGCTTTCTCACAAGTTACTAAAAAAGGCACATGGCTTACGTACATAAAGTGTCTCCCATTAATAAACACTTAAATAATACAACAAACATAATTTTAAAAAATTTTTTAAAACTAGAATAAACGATTTGAATTTTTTTACATGATAGAGGGATTAGTATATTAGACAATGACTAAACTACTTTGTTACAATTCTGCTACTAATTGGAATGACAAAACAATAAAAAGAAATTTTATTAAATTTATTAAATTTTTTAAATTTAAAAAAAGCATTCATCATAAAGAAAGCAAGTTATGGAATAGTAGACTGGTCGCTAAAAAAGTGTCGTTCAGTCCAGTACTAAAAAAGTTATTGCATTTGTCTGAATATTAATGGGAATCACTGTATGTATCAAATCTTAAATACATCACAGATTTTGCAAGACTCGGAAAATCGGCGGTTGTCCTATCATTTTGTCGCGGATGTACATAATAGTAATAAACATGCATAATGAAAATAATAATATTAACATAATAAAAATGTGAAACAGAAATCAGAAAAATCCTGAGTTATCAGAACGTTCGACCAAACTTCGCTATCTTCGATGAAAGAGAGGAAACAATGGTGTTATTATTAATTCGAAGGTTGCAGAGTAACCGGAAATCCCACGACCCTCTCTTTATTCATCGTACACTCGAAACAGACGATGTTTAATCCGATCCACTTACTTTATTACAATTATCATACCGAGCGTTTCTATTTTACATTTACATAGCCCGTTGCAGCAGTGACAAGATAATAAAAATTAATCGAATATATTAATAACGTTGATGATAAGTCCGGCCGAGCCGTTCATTAATGCGGAAGATGCATGTAAAGTAACGCATCAATTGATGAAACGCTTTACGTAACTTAATTTATCTGCCAGATAGATTCTTACAATGGGGGTTCTCGGAAACTGTTTGGAGAATTCCCTGGAATTAATCTGCTTTGGCAAATTACTTAGGAAGTTCAAGCGGTAGCCTAATTCTTAGATATTTCTCACCGTTTTTAAATTAACCATTTGCACTCGAGCGGTGACCCTGGAGTATTATTAAAAATTGTCATATCACATTCCAGAATAATTTGTTCCCTATCAAATTTGCATAGATTGTAGGAACTTGTTAAAATGTAACTAAATACTGTAAGACAGAAAAGCTATCTTGGATTTAGAGTAGAGTTTCAAATAATTCTTTTCGATAATACAAATAATTCAATTCGTTATTTGAAAATGCAAATAATATCGATCCAATTGAAATAATAGCATTTTCAAATAATAAATGATTTCGTTTATTTTTTATTTCATACATGGCAAAAGAAATAATTCTCAAAATAAATATGCAACGAATGGAGTTTATCACATCGATTTGCTTTTCATTTGAAAAAATCTTCACAGCAATTTGCTTCGAGGAAGCATTTTGCTTTTCTGAGAAAGTTCATATTTAATAGATTTTTGTCATTATTGGATTATTTCACGAATTTCAATCGAAAACAGATAATTCACCCAATTTCGACAAAATTTATTAAATTTTCATTATAGGCTCAGATAAAAAAAGTACATAATTTCTTAACTTTCTTATCGTCCCAATCAATCGCAATGTAAAAAAATTTTTACTCATTCTTTAGAAAACTAATAGGTTCAACGTTTCAAAAAAAATTCAAATCAATTGGAATTTTTAAAAAATTATTCCGCTTGAAAATGTGTTAACATACTTTCCGACATAACTGTACGTACAAAAGTTGCAATGAAAAGAATTAAACATCTTTCATTAGAAAAGAAACTTTATGTTCTGTTGCAAGGACAAAATAAACTTGAAGTCAACGATTTCTGGAGATTTCAACAAAACGGATAATTGATTTTCCATAAGTGGGCGAAAATGTTAATCCAACGAATCTATTATAATCGCATGTGAAATACCGTTGAAATAAAATATTTCAGAGTTCTTCCAGGGGAATAGAAATTTCGGTTAGCGAAACGCGCGACACGAAGATGACACGGCTCAAGATGAGTGACAAAGCGGCAGAAAGATAATTACGGACACGTCATTTCCGACGAATTTCGACCGCCTTTATGTCACAGACGTGTAATTAAACGTCCCCCATCGTTACTTTAGATATGTGGAGGAGCAGAACAATTAGAGCGATTAACTCGTAGCTGTCTAAATACAGCCGCACTCGAAATTACGGCTACGAGAAAAGTAACAGGATGGCGGGATTGCCCAAAAAGTTTAGAAGTTTAGATCAAGCAGTGTCGGGTATTTCTGTCCGGAAACAGTCATAATTCTGAAGACAGCACGATACGCAAAGTTGGTTGGGCAACGTACCGTCTGTATACGCTCTGTATTTTACCACGGCGAAGTTTTGGTTGGTTTATATATAGGCAACGTTACAGCACCAGCTCGAGAAAACTCGAAAAATTCTCATCGGGGTCTGTCGAGAATTTTCAAGCTCGCCAACTTTTCGGAACAATTAAAAGTTTCTTTCTGACGCTGTCTTCGCTCGTCCAATATCGGATGGGCAACTCTAATTAGCACGATTTTGACGAATATTACGGTGAACGTGAATCTCACCAAAAAATATTCGACGCGCAATGTTTATAACAAAAAAAATCCACAGGTCTGTCTAATAAAAAATGATATATTAAGATATTATATACAAAATATATATATACAAAATTGTATACAAAATAATATAATGATATAGCTTAACTGTGGACCAGTTTCATTTTTTTCTATCTTTCTACAGGCTAAGTTATGTAACTCGTTTACCTTCATTTTTCTTGTAACCTACATGTTGTGTAAAAAAATGTTTCGAACGAAAGTTGTTTGGTATAAAGGGGAGTGTAGACAGCAACAATTGATTTTTTGCGATTTTCTATTTTTATCAAAACATGAGGATCGCCTTGAGTTTTTTACCGTAACGTGCAACATTTAATCATGTCATTCGAAAGTTGATTAAAACAACACATCTACAATTTTGTAAGAGAAAAACGAAAATGAAATTTTGCTGACAATAAAATCAAATGTATTAGTGTACTGATGTATACTTCACGACTAAGGGACACATTTTTTTCCATTTTAAAATTGGTGATTGTCGTATTTAATTATTGGTTATTTTTGGTTCAAGACGCAATTTGCTAGCACAAACAGAAAAAATGAAAGAATGTGCAAATTATGCTAAACGTCGCACAGAAAATAAGACGCATAATATATGTACTATGTGCAATGTTCGTCTTTGCTCTACAACCAAAAGAAATTCCTTCGCAGAATATCATAATTAGCACATCATTTTATATAGTAATTTTATTTCATAATTTTGTATTATTTTAATTAACATTTTATTATAATAAATAAGAGACATTGCATAATAAGCCTAACCATAATTTGTGTTACCTTTATAGTCCATTGGGAAAAATATTTTCTATAAAATTTCAAAAAAACTACACATTGTTATGTATTTTTTTGTGATTTTTATTTATTTTACGTCTAAAAACAAACTAAAATAAACAGTTACATACTAATATTTACATATTTTATAAGGTATACGACAACAAACATTATTATATAAGAATTTTTCGTACCAAATCATCGCAAAATTGATAAATTGTTGTTAAATTCAAAATTGACGAAATAAGATTGAATGATCCTGGTACTATTATTTTCTTAAAAATAATTATAAATCCTATGTAAAACGTGCAAGAAGATGTATTGATTTAATTCTGGATAAACTGTAGATAAATTCTAGAAAGTTAAACATTTTACTACAAAACTGGAAATGCAACGTTGGGGTCACTCGTGGTCCTAACATGCCAGTTAAAGGTTAAAAATCTGTTGCAAAAGATATAACATAAAAGAATATTCAGTTGTACATATCAAATTAATAATAAACTCAAAAATTCTTAAAGCAGAAGAAATTTTATATTGGTGAATTTATCCATAAATGATAATTGGTATTTAGTTACAACTAATATACGATATTGCAAGTATACATTAACAACATTAAAATAGTAATAAAATATTGGCATGGTAAAGGATGATAAAATATTAAATTCTGTAAAAACTGCTTATAAATGAAAATTACGATGGATTTAATTCCCACAGTCGAATAAACAGGAAATGCAACTCGTGTTCACAATGCAGTTGCAGTAACAGCGCTGCGATAACACGAGGCGCCGATAAAACACTCCGAAAAAAACGCAGATGCACATTAAGATTCGACGAGCAACATTATGCTTTAATAACATGCCACGTAAACCATGCAAATAGGAACTTTCGACTCTCAATAGAAAAACGTAAACAAATCAAAATGTGAATGAAGAAATCTACGATACCAGGAAGCCTTTAACCTATTCGATCACGTTGTTTCGGAGCAGCATGTTCATCGAACGAAATATCTGTCTCTAAGCTATTGACGAACAAATACTTCTAACGAAAATTAAGAGGCTTTTGTTCTAAATTGAAATGACGTCATTAGTTTCGAATAATCGCCGGTAATAAACAATTTTTAAACAGAAACCTAACCTACAATAATTGAAGCAAGGTTACGACGAAGGAAGAACGAATATTTGTCGACTTACCTGCATGCTGTCTGCCGAAATAATTTCCCCGGAAAATCTTCTCGCCATTTCAATGGCCAGACGAGATTTTCCAGTACCCGTGGAACCAAATATCGTCAAAACAGGCACACGCGACATATCGACGTTTTCACAAATATCCGCTGGTGTACGAGACTGCGCGTGCGCCGACCTATTTCCCATGCGCTCCTCTTATCCTGTTCATTCGACCACGTGGTACGGGAAAGCGGTAGATTTCAAAACATTATTTACCTTGCAAGTAAGGATCGATTGAGTTATGTATCTTTTCAAAGTTCTGTTTAAAACATAGACTGCACAGAACGTTTTCATCATACGTATTCATATTACATATTCTGATAGAAACCGATAAAGAAAAGTCCTTCGAAAAAATGTTCCGATAGGTAGAGAACTTTTTCTGTAGATTATAGAATATAAATTGGGAATTTGTTTATAACGAAAAATAGATATTTTGTTCATCGATGCATTGTAAGAAATACTGTACATTATTCAATGAATAGTAGTATACTCACAGAGCTTTAAAGAAAGTACATTATTTTATTGTAATATTGCTTTAATAATTTGTTTAATGTAACTTCTAAATGTACTATGATTAGTATTTACACAGAAAAATTGTTCATATTGTTGTGTGTAAATAAACATATTAAAACATTACAAACAAGTTACCTATATATTTATAATAAGTATAAAATATAATAAAATATTATTTTCTTTATCAAAATCAGATCATTTACTAAAACATAGACTTAATTTTATTTACGATCACGTAATGTTAATTTTATTTACGATTGCGTATCAATCATTATAAAATACATAAAAATGATATTGGTTAAATAAAATAAAAAGAAAAGCATATTGTATTTTATGTAGGAGTTCCAACAAATTTTCAATTTCTATCGATAATAATCAAAATAATTTTTTAAATAGAGAAACTAACAAAGCTAATAACGATAAAGTGTGTCTCTGATGTTCGTAATTCTAACAACGATCAATGTAAGAGCACAATCAACCGTAAGTGCTTATTCGACGCGAGTAAATATAAAAAATATTGCGCAATCGAAAAATGATGAAAATCGCAATTCGTTGCAAGTATGTGGCGCCAGGAAAACGAAAAAAAGAATGTCTATACTTGTTACTACTATCATTATACAATGCACTATTGCAACATACTGCAACGTTAGAACCCCGACAATTTCAAACGCAAATCACGTTTACGTTGATGAATGGTGTCAACATTTCGCAGCGCTGCAAAATCAGCTGATTAGTTCAGCTTGAGACGTAGATTTCAGAGCTCCCTGTTACAGAGAAATATGTAACATTGGCGAAATCTGTTCGTAAAAATGAAAACCACTCAGCGCTGCGAAATTTCGCTGCGCAATATTAATACATCGATGACAGTGCACAAGATATCATTAGTAGTTAAAGTGGCAAGAACGTTTACATATTAAAACTGCAGTTCGTGGAACTTTGTAACAAAGTGACGTGGTATTCTTGGCAAACATTGTCACATTTGCATTATCAATAGACTGAAACAGAAAATCTACAAAACTGTATCATTAAAATACTATTCTTCTAGCAGTGGCGAGTATGACGAGTACTACAGTAATGTCTCTCTAATTGACGCTCAGATTGTCCCCAACTGTCGCTCAGCTCGTATACAAAAATAGACAATTTGGGAATAGGAAATATCTCTATTCAAGCCTTATGGCTTGTTTTTATCGTTATTGACAATCGGCGATTACAAAAATGAGCCGCGACGCTCGAATAGTCGTATCTCACTCTTCCCAAATTGTCCATTTTTGTTTAAAAGCTGAGCGAAAATTGTGGAGAATTTACTGTAATTACTGTGGTATTATCTTCGTGCTTCAGAAATACTTCTATACATAATATTGTACAATTTCTATACATAAACTACATACCAGCGTGAACACATTCAACATCCTTTATTTTTTAATCCATTCTAGAGTAACACGAATGATAACGCATTATCGAATTTGTGATTAGACTATGAATCTTCGTGCAAAATACAAATACTCTACCTCGTTTGCAACGAACATGAGTGAAATAAAAATTTATGTTCAATCTTAACAGATTGAATCAATTGAAATTACTGGAACAGCATTGTAAAATTTTTGCCTTGCATTTAATGTGTTGTAATCAACCTACAGAATCTTTGTCATACATGCATAAAATCCGCAGCCTAGCTACGATAGTTCGAATCAAATTCTGATATTGCTTTCCTAACCAGGCGGCAATGATATGTAACATAGAGTTTTCTGGCACAGCTGTTTGTTATCTAAGGTTCAACGAATCTAATTAAATGTACAGGGTGAGACTTGTGACATGTATCTCATAACATGTTCTCCGTAACTATGTATTTTAGACCCTATTTGATATAATACCTTTTTATGTAGGATTCAACGCTTTATCCGAATTCGGGAAGGAATATTAACTGTTTCGTTTAAAAAATTCCAGATGACCTTCGCATCTTGATAAAAAGACAAAATGACATAAAACTGATTTGAATACTATTTATCTGCCTGGAAACCATGCAATTTCTATATGAAACACTTTTTCGTACGACAAATATTTTTTATGAGTTATTTGATGTCGAAACTCGGCCTCTATATCGTAACAGCACTCAATTTTGGACAACGTTTCCGACACACGTATTATTGTTCGGAATACAGAACACGTATCCTAGATAAAGAGGTGTTTGTACAGCTGACTGTAACTGACTAATTATGTCTACATATTAACAGTTACACGTTACACATATTAACAGTTAAGGATGAAGACGTTTTCACACTTGTATTGCTAACGTTTCCGAGCCACATTCGTCGTACCTATCAACGAATCGAGTATAAAATATGAACTGTATGGAAAATGTAAAACACATTATCGTAAACGTGTAACGAAGCTAGCGAAAATTTCTTTTTAAGTTAAACTTCAAAATCTTGACAACACGTTCAATGAATTGGAAGCATAAAAAAATTGTTACAAAACTTCTAACTGAAACGTGCTTTAGTAACGTGAAGGTAATAGCAGATCTTGTCGTGTCAATAACGTGTGTTTGCTCTACTCATTCAGTCAATGTTAACTATTCGATACAATATCGAAGATAATGGTCAATGTAACGTGCACTCAAATAGATAGCGCAATGGTTTTATAAACGAAATAATAAATACAAAATCATTGTCGACAAGAAAACTAAAAACCGAAGAATCATCTTTTTCCATGAACAGAATTTACTCGTTTCGACAAGATTTATCATTTTTGAACCGTCTTAGACATTGCGCGCACAAGTAAAAGTTACCTCGGAGAGCCCTATTACGTGGTGCATGTTTTTATGACTATTTGTGTCCATTTATTATCCTCGCCGTTTAATTACCTTGTATAATGTTCACTGCTGTTTAGACATGCGCAGATTTATTCATATGTCATTGTTATCACGTTCCTGTTACCGTCGTTCCCTGGAAACTCTATGACCCAGTAATCGTTATCGAACTCATTTCTCGTATCAAACATTCGGTTGCATAACAATTCGACGACTGTTACTTGTTAAATGACTATCTGGGCGATAGAAGCCAATCGAGTCTCAGAATTCGTCGCCTCCCCTCCGCCAGCTCTGGGGAAAAACGGAAGAAACGTTCGCGGTTTCTTTTTGTCCTCACAAGTGCTGATAAGATAACCCAGCTACACGACATAAAAGTTTACTTTAGTTCTCTCTACCTGGTTGAACGAGATCTCACGATAATGTCCGTCTATGCGGATTCACGCAGTGTAACAATCGAGATGCTCGGCATTTCATTCTAAACTAAAAAGTAACCAGTTACTGATAACACTGACAGATAACCGACAGTATTATCAATTTCGGCGCTAATTGTCGCGGTTCTTTTAATAGTTGCATCCTGGTTGATGGATTAAAATCTGCTAACCCGGACCTTAAAGTGATATCCCCCGAAAGAATGTGTCGAAACTTCAAACGTTTTATATAATTCGTTCGGAAAGACAGTTAATCCCTCAAGCGGAAACGACGAGTCACGACTGTATTATAATAAATTTTAAATTGCACTTAATGGATTTTTAGTGGAAACTTAGATTAGTTAATTTTAAATAGGGGTGAGAATAATTATGACAGATTCTTATGAAAAACATTACCATAGTAAATTTTTAATATAAATTTAAATTATAATGAATTTTTAATATAGAAATTATAATAAAATATAATAAATTTTAAATAATAAATTATATTATTATATTAATAAATATTATATTATTAGAATATATTATTGGATGAAATTATGTTTTATTGCTATTATTATTATTATATTATTATAATTATTATTGTTATTATTATTTCAATTATTATTATATTTAAATTATAATAGATTTTTCTGAGCTGACTAAGTTTTTGATAACTTTACTATTAAACTGTGAATTTGATGCATTTATGACAAAAATGAATTTATGAAATTTGAATCAATGAAATTATTTAGGAGGTTGGAAGAAATATCTCCTGTTCTTTACGATTAATACGGAACAGTTAATTGAATCGAATTACTTAAATTACATATTTAATTAATATACAAGTCAGGAAAAGAAAGAAATTAAACATTATCAATAAAAGTTCATGCTTCACTCACCGATCCAACGGACGAAGGAGAAGGGATGTCTTCGAAGAATCTCTTAAATCTAAATTAGCACAGTTTTTTGGGATGGTTCGATGGTCCCTTTCGGGTCTAGATTTAACCTTATTCCCAATTACATAATCACTAGTTCCATCCCGTTTCTCCGGCAAACACTCTCTAATATTTCAGCATTGCAAACTGGTATCCACTGAGTAATTTTCTTCTCCAAGGTGACAGGAACGCCGCATGGGATGAACGTTGACCAATCAGGGTGCGATATTTCTTTAAACGATTGAATTGTCAAGCATCTTCCGTTTAAAGTGCTTTAGATCATCATAGTTTGAATTCCATTCTTTAAGTTATTACTAGAATGCAGGTTTTTATGCAAAATAGAAAAGTCACTTGTAAGAAATCAAAATTAGATAAATATGTATTTTGTCACTTCTTCTCTGGTCTTAAAGTTTAATGGATTCAAAGTTTTCTAGTTGACCTCATTTT